TAAGCACCTTAGTGGTGATGTAGCCATCACCTGCACATTAAACTTAGAGGTAATAAGTGTTATCGAGCTACTTAAGTATTGCATATAATCGATTCACAAAGTTTGAATCCGTTTATTTTCGCCGACGACACCCAAATTTATGGCTGCGGTGCACCGGCTGACGCCGCAACGTCGCAGGACCGAACGTCTGCATGCTTGGGGCAATACTTTCAAAACTCGCTAAGTGAACGTAAGTACTTACGCTCTATTCTTTTGTCTCTGATTGGTGGATTTTGCTTGATTCATCAGCTTGATTGGCTGATGAACTTACGATCTCTTAACTTTTTTTTAAAGTATAGGCCCTGGACGCTGTCTCAGACTGGATGCGCTTCAACCGGCTTCATGCAGCTCAATGCATCAAAAACCGACTTAATTTGGTTAACGACTGCATCAGCTTCCGGCCAATTCTTTTCGCGTGGGCAACGGGTTCGGCATGCCTGCGTCCGCAGTTCGCAACCTTGGCATTCTGCTGGACTAAGAACTTTCAATGAAGTTCCGAGTCCAGCAGAAGGACTCGAAATGTCCAGCAGAAGGACAATGTCCAGGACTCGCTGGACATTGCCAAAGTCGCCACCGCTTGCTTTAGCGCTCTGAGACGAATACGTAGCATCAGCAGCTGTCTTTCTAGGCCTTTGTGGTGGCGCTCGTTCTGACCAGAATAGACTGTGGTAATACCACACTTTACGGACTTGCAACCACGGCACTTGATAAACTGTAATTCGTAATGAACGCTGCTGCTCGAATCGTGTTCAGTAAGCGAAAATTCGACCATGTGACGCCGATATTGCGCGATCTTCACTGCTGCGCATGCAGCAGCGTACGCAGTTCAAGGTCGCTGTTCTGACGTTCCGATGTCTTCACGGTCTGGCGCCTCCTTATCTCACGGAAGGTCTGCAGCGAGTGTTGGATCGTCTTCTAGAAGACGATAGCGATCGTCATCAACAGCGGACCTCGTCGCATCAGCTACACGTCCATCTACCGTCGGTTACAGAGCGTTCCGAATTCACTTATTTTAATTTGAGAACAAATTGTTGTAGGTCTATTGGCAATCACGCTTGACAATGTTACTAATTTCATATTACAAATTTGCGGCCATAACCTGTTACCAGTGACACGTCTCTCTCAACTCTACTAGAGATACCTTACCAGAGACATATAATTCCCGCCTACTAACTTGGGCCTATACTTTCAAAAAAAGTTAAGAGATCGTAAGTTCATCAGCCAATCATTGACGGCCTTGCAAGCAAAATCCACCAATCATAGACAAGAAAATAGAGCGTAAGTACTTACGTTCACTTAGCGAGTTTTGAAAGTATGGTCCCTGCTCTGTCAAGATGCTTCAAGTCGAATCTGTCTCTTATACACATCTAGATGTGTATAAGAGACAGGGGCAAGACGATGGCGATGAACTGATCGAAGTTCACTTTGCCTTCCTCTGCAATATTAACTTATAATTATCTATATAAACTGCACTATAAACTTATAATTATAATTACTGTACTTTTAATTATCTTCCATTGCTATTACTGCACTAATAATTATCTTACATTACTATTACTACCCTTATATTTATCTTACATCACTATTACTACACTTTTAATTATCTTACATTGATATTACTCCCCTTATAACTATCTTAAATTACTATTACTGCACTTCTAATTATCTTACATTACTATTTATACACTTATAATTATCTTGCATTGCCATTATCGCACTTCTTATTATCTTACATTACCATTACTACACTTCTAATTATCTTACATTACTATTACTACACTTCGAATTATCTTACATTACTATTACTACACTTCTATTTATCATACATTACTAATACTATACTTCTATTTATCATACATTACTAATACTACACTTTTAATTATCTTACATTAATATTACTACACTTATAACTATCTTACATTACTATTACTGTACTTCTAATTATCTTACATCACTATTACTACACTTCTATTTATCTTACATTACTAATAGTACACTTCTATTTATCTTACATAACTAACACTACACTTCTATTTATCTTACATTACCAATACTACACTTCTAATTATCTCATATTACTATGACTACACTTCTAATTATCTTACATTACTATGACTACACTTCTAATTATCTTACATTACTATTACTACACTTCTTATTATCTTACATTACTATTACTACACTTCTAATTATCTTACATTACTATTTATACACTTCTAATTATCTTACATTACTATTTATACACTTCTAATTATCTTACATTACTATGACTACACTTCTGATTATCTTACATTACTATTAGTACACTTTTAATTATCTTACATTACTAATACTACACTTCTAATTATCTTACATTACTAATACTACACTTCCAATTATCTTACATTACTAATACTACACTTCTAATTATCTTACATTACTAATACTACACTT